AAAAGGAGGTTTGGGCGTGTGCATAAAGAAGGTTATTAGATCTAAGAATGGCACAAAGTAGTACATCTTTGATACCGAATTGGTCAGAACTTGAGTATGATGTGCTAGTTCACGTAGCCAGGCGTTTGAATTTGGTTGGAGACTACCTTAATTTCGCCGCTGTCTGCAAACCCTGGCAACTTGCGGCCACCAAGGAAAATTTTAACAGTGACCTGCCTAGGGTTCCATGGCTTATGTTAGCCGAGGAAGAAGGAAGCGACGTTAATTCATGTAGAAAGTTCTTCAACCTCTGCAATGACTTGATTTTCAAGACGAGGATACCAAAAGCCAACGGAAAAAGATGTCTGGAGTCTATGGGATGGCTTGTCACAGTAGATTTGGGAATACACGGTGAAATTAGTCTGCTGCATCCTTTTTCCGGTGTTCAGATTGAACTGCCGCATCAAAATACCACTGAAGATTGTACCCGCAACAAGACTCGATATATATGGAATTTTATTGACAAGGCTGTTTTGTCGGCTAGTCCTTCTAAAACATCAGATTATGTTCTTATGGTTATTGAGGGTAGAAAATAAGTACCTCAGTTTTTGGAGGCCAGGAGACTTGAAATGGACCAGGATTAGAAGAGAAAACTATGACCCTCATTCTTGTGATCAACATTGCGATGTGGTTTACTTTAATGGCAAATTTTATGCAGTTGATATGCAAGGCAATGTGCTAGTTTGCAATGTTACTAGTGCTGAGGCTCAAAAAGTAGCTCAGTTGCCTTCATCAATGGATATCTATCAAATGGGATATCACAGGAGAGCTGAATACTACATCTTAGAATCACTAGGATCATTACTTGTAGTTGTGCGACATGGTAGTTTGGGAATGCCCAGGTTTCCATTCACACCTGTCTTTGAGCGTGAAGTTTATGATGATGAGGAGGTCCGGCTCATTTTTCATACAAATTCTTTTCGAGTTTACGAGGTTGATTTAGCTGCTGGTACATTGACGGAAACCAAACAAATAGGGGACAGGGCTATCTTTTTGGGTGCTAATGCATCTCTGTCAGTCCAAGCTTCTCAATTTCCTGGAGTTAACCCCAATTGTATTTATTTTACTGATGATATTTATGAACAATACAGTGACTATGTAGAAGGGGGCGGCTTGGACATGGGTATTTTCAATATAGCAGATGGCACCTTGAAGGGTCAATTTAAGTCTCTTTCCCGAAATCGTTTTACTCCACCGATGTGGGTCACACCGACTCTGTGTTGATTTGGATTCTGTCGTGATTACGGTTCCCTGGTGTCAGAATTGGTGAATTTGGGACGGTACGTCCAACTGAAGATGTTTGGTCAAAATCAGTTTAATTATTCAGATTTTAGTCCTCAGGTCTGTTCTAGAAGGGAAAGGGAATTTTGCGTATGTTTCCATTTTGCGAAGGCAGACTTGAATGATAAACTGATCTTTCTTTTGCTTATTTTCTGATTCTCTTCTATTTCCTCTCATTCTTTCTGCTATGTCTAATTTCCTTTCTTTAATTGTTATCTCTAAGTTGATTTAGTAGCAATTACTTCAGATTCCTTCATAGAGTGCATATTAGGATTCCTGTTTTTCATTCTCATGAACATCTTCTTGTAATTAGAATTATGGATTGCTTTCAGATTATGTTTTTGGAGAAAGTTTCATTATTCCTTCAAAAGGTTATTTGCTTGGATTTATAGTATCGTTGGAAATGTTGCTTCTAATAATCATTGAAGGAGGCCCGAATTTGAGTTGAAATTGGTTCGTAGAAAGAAATAGTTGTGGGAGAGAGGGTTGAAGCATTCTTCGGCTGGGTTCTAGTAAACTTAGTCAAGGACTCAAAATTGAGAGCACCAGGGAATATAAAAGCCGAGGCAATTACTGTTCATGCACTGCTTATTATACTAATCTATTTATGCTGTTTGAACTAATGCTGTTTTTGTAATTCTTCAATGCATCAAGTAGAATAGTGGTTAAGTGTTAAAGTTTCATGCTTGAGGTCTTTTGGTTGACGCTGCTGTACACGAGAATTTTTTTTCGAACGTGGGGATGACAATCAAGGTGAGTTCATTTCAAGCTGACCTAACTGATGTGTACCTTTCCATGGGTGGCAGGCTCACATTAATAAACAGTGTTCTTGATAGCATCCCAACATACTACATGTCATTATTCCCTATCCCATGCTCAGTTTTAAAGCAATTAGATAGACTCAGAAGGAGATTCTTATGGGAAGGGAATAGCCTAACCCATAAAATTTCCTTGGTTAAGTGGTCGAAGGTCACTCAACCAAAGTCACAAGGAGGTTTGTGCATCAGGGACCTAAAAGCTCACAACAAATGTATGCTCTGGAAATGGTTATGGAGGTATGGTCAACCGGGGAATGGGTTTTGGAAAGATGTCATTGATGCCAAGTATGGAGTGCAAAGCCATTGGTGTACCAAAAATAGCTCAACCCCCCATGGGGTTGGCCTATGGAAAAATATTAGCAGAAACTGGAGTGAGTTCTTTGAGAATGTAACTTTTAAAGTTGGCAATGGAATGCATGTGAAATTCTGGAAGGAAAGATGGATTGGAAGCTCAACTCTGAAGGACTCATTCCCTGGGCTGTTTCAGATAGCCTGCAATCAGAACTCCACTATAGCTCAGAATAGGGAAGGAAGCACTTGGAATCCCTTATTCAGAAGGAACCTACACGACTGGGAAATCAATGATCTACTGGCACTCTTTGAAGCTTTAGAAGGCTACAACATTGAAGAACAACTGCCAGACAAAATCACTTGGGGAAGCTCGAAGGAAGGCAAATACACAGTCAAAGCCGGTTACAATCTCATTTGCTCTCAAAATGGGATATTACAGAATTGGCCTTGGAAGCACATATGGAAGACCAGGCTGCCTACTAAGGTAATATGTTTCACATGGACAGCATTGAAAGGGGCATGTCTCACCCAGGATAATCTAACCAGGAGAAACATTATACTAGTTAACAGATGCTACATGTGTCTCCATAACGCAGAAAGCATAAACCACCTATTCCTTCATTGTTCACTTGCAGCTGACTTATGGAATTTCTTTTATTCCATATTTGGATTATCCTGGGTCACCCCTCAGTCAGTCAACGAAGCCTACGATAGCTGGTTTTTGTGGAAAGTTGATAAGGCCATCAGAAGGATATGGAAAATGATCCCAGCAACTATTTTTTGGTGTATCTGGACAGAGAGAAATCGCAGATGTTTTGATGGTGTCTCAACTCCAGCATGCTTCTTGAAGGCTAGATGTTTAGTTAGTCTTTTTAGCTGGAACTTCATGACCCCTGTAAATAGCACTGATCATTTTTTGGACTTTGTTAGCTCCCTGATCCTAGCATAGTTTTTTGTACTTATAGAGCTAACAGTCTCTTTGTAACTTTTGTTCGCTTTTGCATCCTCTTGATGCCTTCTTAATGATTACACCTTACTTCATCAAAAAAAAAAGCTGACCTAACTGATGTTTGTAACAATGTCTGTCCGTCAAAAGTCCAATTTCTCATAGCTCTTTCTGTGGAAACTCTAACTGGTTAATTAGCCCGAAAAGGCTATAGAAATTAAACAATCTAAAGTGAAATGGCATGTGTCACTCATAGTTCTTCAAGGTGAGAAACTGACTTACAGAAGGCATCTTATTGCTTCTGTATTCCATTCGTATCAGGTTTTTCAAGTACATGCTGGTCTTTGAGGCATTTGGTACATGGCTACTCTAAGGCATTGGTATTATTTGGCTTCTCACTGTTCCTTGCAAAGTTGCTACGTGAACAGTATAATAGAGTGCATTGGGACTCAAACCCACTGCCTTACCCATATAAAAACATGTTAGTTTATAATGAATTGGGACTCAAACCCAACTTTTATCATCAACATAGTGAATTGGACTTGAACTCACCGTCTTACCCTCAATCTAATAGGCCAAAATTCACTATGACTCGCACTCGAGTCTTTAAAAATATTATTATTTCATAATTACAGGCAAAAGTAAATTGACTTTTAAAAAGACATATATAACTATTTCACTATTGAAACAGTTCTTTTGCAACAAAAATGCTCGTTAGGATATAATTTTAAAAACAAAAAATGACATAATCACTTTTAAATTAATCAGGGGAAAGGTGCAGATAACCTATAGCCACTCATATTTCAAAGACTATAGGAACTTCACCAAAAAATCAAATACGGAGGAATGAGCCTTATGTTTGCAGCAAAAATATTTAAGGCTTAACGTATAACCGTGACTATTATAAATTATAACCATAATGAGGTTATATTGATTGAATATTCGAATGCCAAATTTGCAAGGTACTGTAAAATCGCCTACATATTTGGTAATTTTGCTTTCAATGAAATGCAACATGTGATGGTAAAAATATTATTACTAAATTACCTTAATAATTATCTAACATAGTATGTAAACTATCAGAACATATATATATATATATATATATATAAAGATGCTATAACACGTAATTATTTTGCAAATAAATGTCACTACACAGTCGGCGGCGCTAGTATAATTGAATATGTACTAGATGGTAAAAATATTATTACTAAATTACCTTAATAATTATCTAACATAGTATGTAAACTATCAGAATATATATATATATATATATATATATATATATATATATATATATATATATATATATATTTTTACCGATTACGATCAAATTCAATTTAGAGGTGACTTTCTAAACAGGCTCCTGGTATTCAATTTACTTTCGTAGAACTTCTCACAAAAAGGGATTACGCTGCATATTGCATTTTGACTTTATCACAAACTCAATCATTTTCTTCTCTTTCTTAGTATCATGCTCGTGTGTACACGCTTCCCTACTGCCACGTATTCATGATTTTCCTTCTGCTGCCACGTTACATGTTTTCTTGCTCATTCTATCCGTATAGCTGCAACAAGAAGATAAAGCTTAAAAAACACTTATCCTATAATAAATACATGTCCTAAAAATGATTTCTATAGTCCCATCATTTTCATTGTGTTTGATTTCCCTCTTTTTGTAGTTTCAAACTTTTCTATGGATACAAGACAGAGAAGCATTAGAATAGCAATGTTGCCATGGCTAGCACATGGTCACATATGTCCCTTCATAGAACTAGCCAAAGCACTCTCCAAGAGAAATTTCTACATATACATATGTTCCACACCAGTCAATATCAATTCTTTCAAAGAAACAATTTCAGAAAAAGATTCAATTTCAATAAAGATAGTGGAACTTCACCTTCCAAATTTACCTGAACTTCCTCCTCACTACCACACCACAAATGGCCTACCACCCCATCTCATGTCCACTCTAAAAAATGCTTTAGATATGGCCAAACCAAGCTTTTTTCAAATACTTAATACTTTGAAGCCAGATTTGGTTATGTATGATTTTCTTCAGCCATGGGTTCCAACTATGGCTGCTTCACAGAATATACCATCTGTTCTATTTCTTACTCCTGGTGCAGCAGCAAGTTGTTATCTTTTTCATATTGGTAGAAAGAAGCTTGTTTCTGAATACCCTTTTTCAGCTATTTATCTTAGAGATCATGAGTACGACAGGAATAGACATATGTTTGAACCGACTGATGATGATGGATATACAGATACACAGCGAAGAGTCAATGGATGCATAGATGGATCATCTGAAATCATCTTGATCAAGACTATCAGAGAGCTAGAAGGAAAATACATGGATTTTCTCTCTACTTTATGCGACAAAAGGTATGTCGCGTCTACTCAAACTTTGACGCTCATAACGAATCAAATAAAAAAAAAGCATCCAATATTTGGTGGTCACAAAATGACCTTCCTTTTCTATTTTGTTTGTTAGGGAAAAAGGTGTCGATGTATTTTCTTTTAAATTAATTAATTTTTCCTACATTCAGGTATGTTCCAGTTGGACCACTTGTTAGAGCGGCAGAAACAGAGCATGAGAATTCAGAGGTAATGAAGTGGCTAGACAGTAAACAAAGATGTTCCACAGTTTTAGCTTCATTTGGGAGTGAGTATTTCCTGTCAAAGGAGGAAATGGAAGAACTGGCTTATGGGTTAGAGCTCAGCAAGGTGAATTTCTTGTGGGTTGTGAGATTTCCAGTGGGAACAAAAATCACCCTAGAAGAATCGCTACCAAAAGGTTTTCTTGATAGAATTGGGAACAGAGGAAAAGTAGTACAAGGATGGGCTCCACAGTTAAGAATTTTGCAACATTCAAGTATAGGTGGATTTGTGAGCCATTGTGGATGGAGTTCAGTAATGGAAGGACTTAAACTTGGAATTCCAATTATAGCTATGCCAATGCATCTTGATCAGCCGCTTAATGCTAAGTTGGTAGTAGATGCAGGGGTAGGTGAAGAGGCTGTTAGGGACAAAAATGGAAATCTTGATAGACAAGAGGTGGCAAAGGTCATAAGGAAAGTGGTGGCAGAGAAAACAGGGCAGAGATTGAGAAAAAGAGCAAGAGAGTATAGTGAAATTTTGAAGAGTAATGGAGCCAAAGAAATAGATGAAGTTGTTGAAGAGTTGCTAAAACTTTGTAGGCTTACAACAAGACACGATTCTACTGAACTGCTTTACTAAATTACACGCTTTTTCCTTCAATTTTCTTTTTCCTTTTGGTAATTTACTTCCCACCAAAATAAATATAGATCAGTGTACAATATTATCAATTTTCATAATATGAAATTGTAGCATCCAATTTCATTTATTTGTGTATATCTATTTGTTCTGGCTAAATCTGAATTACTTTTATTTCGGACACTTTGCGTCGGATTAGTGTCAACTACCGGTTCTAATACTTAACTTAGCAATAGACAGGAAAAGCTTATTATTTTGCGAATTAAGTAAAAATCTGCTCAGTCTTTTGCTTCAGCTGAAAATTAGGCCAACTCTGAAGATATGATTAGTAGCACCATTACAATCATCACTTCGACAATTTACAGTTCTTCCATTTTATATCACGAAAAAAAAATTGGACGGGGTATCAAAGTAATAACTAAATCGAAGCATGTTAAATATGTCATGCCAAGTCTTGTAGCACCCGTAAAGGGGGGAACGAGGGGGAGCCTGGAATAAGAAAGAATTCTATGGCGGGTAACATCACAATCAAGGGCAGAGCCAGAGGGCAAAAGCATCTTGTTTATATATAAAATAGATGTTGAACTTCTGAGGCCATCTCCGATCCTAACACCAAAGTTCACACCAAAATAGTGTAACACCGAATTTATTCCAACCATTACGTTATTTTTTATACCAAATCTTCTCTCTTCTATATTATATTATTATCTTTTATTTACTTTTTATTTTTTTTCCTTCAAACAAATACTATTTTTTTTCTTTTTTCCATATTCATTATATATAATTTACATTCACCATTTATATAATTATTTATTACAAAATTATTTTAAAGGATAAATCAACTAAAAGTGAAATCATTGATAAAAGATAATTAAATAAATATTACATCACAGTCAAATTTAATTTAAGTACCATCTAAATATTTAACTTTCGCCTCTATTCTCCCAATAAATGCTCGATTAATGCATTACGAAGTGCGAAATGCGCATCTTTATTTTATATATTGTTAATTTTCTTTTTTAAATTTTAGTTTTCACTTTTCAATTTTAGCAACATTAGATATCTTATATTTGTATTTTTTATTTTTAAATAATAGTTATATTTCTTTTTATACAATTATAATAATAATAATAAAATTAGCCTCCTCTTTATACCCACAACTATTCAGAATTTCTTCCCGAGAACATCCAACATATTTCCAGATTTATACTTGCTAACATGAGCTCCAAAGTGAGCAATTACCTCATACAAGATGAACCTATAGGGAGTTGAATGCTTACTATTGGACATGTTTGCCACTCTATCTATGATCATTACCACATGAAAATTTATCTTTTCTTCCCTCTCCAGTAGATCCATATAGGTCATGTCAACAGCATTGGCTTCATGTCTTCTTTCCAACCTTCTTAGCACAAGCTTGTGTACAAATTCAAATAGTAGTTTGTGAAAATGAGACATTTTCCTCTTCCACAATTTTCTATGTTTCTTCCCCTCTTTTCTAGAGAATTTTTTGGTGACAAACAAAGGAGTGATTCCTTCTTCTCTGATTGGCCAGATTCCCTTCACATATTCACAGTAACCAGTGGCAGTAACCCTGAATATCTCACCCAGCTTCTCCTCATCAAACACAATGTCGATGTCTCCTACTATGCTTGTTATCACTCCTTCAACTGCACGGCAGGGGATAAAAAATTCCACTACTTTTTTTAACAGAATCTCTTGTCTTGTTTTAGAAATAGGTTCTTCCACCTTGTTTCTCTAGTTTCTGAACCAGCTCTGTCGTTCCATTTCTATTGACAACTGAAATTATCTTTCCTCTCAGTACCTTAGCCTTAAAAGCCTTCAAGATTGTGGCATTTTTTCTCCTTTCTCTCCAAAACTAGTTATCTTACCACCATCTTTTTTCATATTTTTCACTTTCTTCTTCTTTATTACTCAAACCTCCCACCTTCATCAAGTATCTCAATCGGATCTCCGGCAATACCGGATTCTTTTTTCCTTTCCTCCTTCTTTCAAGCTCTTCAAGAGATGTAGCCTCAGCCTACTTCTTGCTTCCCCTGGTATATGACCTTCTCCTAAGGGTAGGCATAGAAGCTGGAGTTGTCTCCTTCACACAGCTTCATTGTCTATTAGGGAGCAGCTATTGACTCAAAAGTCATCAGCTGGTGCCTTGTCTTCTCTGCAGGTCTCATCTTTGTATTAGAACATAATCTATCCTCCACTATCTCCTCTCTACCTGCTCCAAAATCATGTCCTTGTTTCCTCTCTACTGAAGTTCCAACTTCCACACATGGTTCTCCCTGAATATCATTACCCAAAGATTCATTCACACCATCACCCTCATTCACAGTCACCTCAGCTGAAGTTTCATCTTCCACACACGGTTCCCCCTGAGTATCAGTACCCAAGGGCTCACTCAAACCATCACCCTCCCTCAAGTCACCTCTCTTTCCTTTTCAGAAGCCTCTATAGTACCAACAACCCTAGATTTTCCCCCTTTTAACTAGTGTTTTCCCCAACCATATCCCTAGAAATGGTTTCTCCATTTTTACTCACATCTTCGCTAGGCACAACCCTAGATTATTCTCTACTTATTGTTCCCAGATGTACTTTCTAATCTATTAGCAGTGAGGTTTTTAGCTATTATCTCAGTTTTCGATATGGGAGAGTTTGGTTTTGCTTGTGTTTCCTCCTTGTTTGAACTGGCATCTGGATCATTTCCCAATTTTACCCTCCTTTCACATCTCTCCATCTTTCGTTGGGCTTCTACCCACGTACACTGCTTATCCTCCCTCTATCAGTGGCTTCCTGCTTATCCTCCCTCTATCAGTGGCTTCTTTTTTACGACCGTCTTCTTCGTCATCGTGGTTATCTAACTTGAAAGAGATTCACGTGAGACGGAAGGATTTTGGGTGTTTTCAGATCGAGTTTTTAGTGCTCGAAGTTTAGGTCTGGAATTTGAGGATCTGGGTATTCTAATGGCTGATTTAACGGGAGTAACGGGTGTTGCACCCTATTTTGCACAGGTCAAATTAAATTCTTATTTCTTATAAGACCAAGCTCTTGATCATCATCCTGCACATTTTTCTCAATAGAAGGATTAGATTCGTTAAATACGACATGCACATTTTTTTCAACACACATAGTTCAGTTATTAACAACTTTATATACCTTACTATGTGGTGAATAACGCAAGAATACTCCCTCATCACTTCTAGCATCAAATTTTTCTAGAGCTTCTTTGCTATTATTGTGAATATTACATTTTCAACCAAAAGCTCTAAGATGTGATACGTTAGGTTTTCTTCCCTTAAGTAATTCATAGGGAGGTTTCTCTAGATGGGGTCTAACCATGCATATGTTTAGGAGGTAACATGCGGTGTTAATAGCTTTTGCTTAAAAGTTCTTAGGCAAAATCCACTAGCTGAAGACCCAGTTTCTTTTGGATTATTCTGAGAAATATGCCAAAAATATCAAAAGTTCCATCTTTACCGGAAAGAAAGAGGGTCCAGGTGTGTTAGGGTAGTCTTCAACTATCACCAGAATGTATCTTTTGCCACCTTTACTCATAACCCTCATCGGACCTCAAAGGTCCATGTGGAACAACTCCAAGGGTCTAGAGGTACTGAGAACCTTTTTATATATAAAGCAGGACCTGACATGCTTGCCTTTAACACATGCATCACACACTTTATTATTTTTAAAGCTGATTTTTGGCAATCCCGCAACTGGGCTTTTGAGGCCAGTTTATTAAACTGAGCCAAACTCACATGACCTAGTCGTCTATGCCACAGTAAGGGGTCGTCATCAAGCACACTAAAATAAGTAACTTCATTATCAGGTAGAGACATAATGGATTCAATTTATACATTTTGATATCTATTTACCTTGAGTTTTGTCTCAGCAGATTTTACACTTGCTATAAGACATTCAGCAGCATCAAACAGGACCTTGTTCCCCATGTCACAAATCTGGAAAACACTCAACAAATTGTAGTTCAACCCATTTATACAATACATATTTTTTATAACTTTAGAGAGTGACTTACCAAGCTTACCTATCCCTGCGATTTCACCTTTTTACCATTCCTTAAAGCCACATCCCAACCTTGAAAGGCGGTTAGTGAGTGGAAACTTTTCTTCCTCCCTGTCATGTGTCTTGAGAAGCCACTATCAATATGCTAGTCTTGGGTGCTTCATCTTACTTTACCCTACAAAATATATCCAGAGTTAGATTTAGGAACGCAGACTAGCTTGGGTCCCCACTTGTGATTAAAGGGATGAATCAAATATTTTTCGTCCATCTTGGTAAGATAGAATTCATAGCAAAGGAAGTCTTTCTTTTCTTTTGATTTTGCAATGCAACCTTTTTATTTTGAGCATTGAACAACGATAAGCAAATTTCCCTAGAGTCCAATGTGTACATATCTTACTAGATGCAGAAGCCAAATACTTAGGATTGACCCTAGGGAAAGGTTTGTAGTATCCTAACCTTGTTTTATTTCTCTAGTGGGTTTGGTTCGGCTATTCTATAGCCTCTAAGGACCTATTCCACTTGGAGGTTCTAGTTAGTTCATATTTTGCATGTTCAGGTCCTCTTGAATTACTTTATTTTGTTCAACTCGGTTGTATAAATTTTCTAGTTCAAAATAATTTTTCAAGGGACTTTTGAATATCACTATTCTCACATTTTCCTTTATATGGTGCTTCCTTTAATTTCTCATTTTCAAATTTGAGTGCCTCAATTTCAAATTCTAAAATAATATCCTGTTGTTCAAAATGTTGTTTTTCCCTTTTGAGTTTAGACGTGTTGAGCTCAAGATTATGGCATTCAAATTTAACAGTTAAAAAGTCATTGGACAATTCTTGTTTGTCAACACTCACTTTTTCAATCTGATTAATTAATGAGAGCGCCATGGCAGACAGTCTTTTCTTAGGAAGAATATGAAGATTATCTTTAAGGTCAGGGACATTTAACTCCTCATTTCCAGCTTCAGATTCAGAGTCACTCATGGACATCATAGACACGACATCACCAATGTTAACCTTTTCAGGATCGGCGCTTATCAAGACCATTAGTGCCATGTTTGAATGAGTTTCTTCATGCATTGTGAGCACCCTTTTTAGATTTTATTAGCA